TAGGATCAAAGCAGAATCAATAATCTCGACTAAAGCAGAATTGAATCGTGAAAACATGCATAGATTGAATATGAACTCAAGATTATCAAGTCAGAGTACTCATACAATCATCCAATCAAACAAACATAGCTAGGGTTCCTCAAAACCTAAGTGAAGGGAAGTTACTCCATAGAGAAGAGAGAGACCGCAGTAAGAATCTTCAGATGATCAGTCTTCAAGTCTGGGCTTGTTCCTCGAGCTTCCAAGGCGAAGAAATCCTCCAATTCCTCTCCAAGAATGCCCTCAAATCGCCCTCTCTCTCTTTGGTTCGTCCTTTGGGTGTTTGGGATCCAAAACCCAGCTCTCCCTTGCAAAAACGCACAAAACAGGCTTTTAACAGCCTGCGTTCGCGATAGGGGATTTTTGGTTCACGATAAGGGATTTTGGTTCACGATAGGGGATTTTTGGAAAAATCCCCTATCAAGGCCAAAAATCCCCTACCGGGGATTTTAGCGTCACGGTAGGGCCCCCTTCTGTTTCTCAGAGAAGCCCGAAACCAATTTTCCACTATCTTTAATTCATCGTTTCTCCCTTGTTCGGACTCCAAATCAGGTGTTGTTTGATCCCAGACGCTCGTAGTCTCGTCCTCTTTCTTCTCATGACAAGATTACATGATTAAATGGTCACAAACTGAGGTAGAAATCCATTCTTCTTCAAGTCATACCCGAGTTTCTTCCCCCGAGTCGCCAATTGATCTCCGATTGACTTGAAACTTGCGCCTACGCTTCACTTTATGTGCTAGGACCTGAAATGTGACAAATGAATACAACCTAGCGTAAAATAGGCCAAAGAAGCGATAATTCAAGCTTAAACGATCAAGAAACAAAGGGGAAAACATGTGCAAATATCGAGTCATCAAATCCCCCCACACTTAACCGTTTGCTTGTCCCCAGGCAAACCTAACTCAAACCAATGCAGCTCTCCAGGCCTGTATAGCAACAAACAACCCCGATCGTCGGTAGAGGATTTTCTAGATCATATAGCAGCTTACGAGATCAACTGGTCTTCTAAGACGTTCCCTATCTCTCTCAATGCGAGTACTAGACTCAAGCCAGGATCATGAGAAGCATTGGAAGTAAGACAGTCAGTTCATGGATAAAGGGACTCATACAATTCACAACCAAAGAATCGTTGTACCGGGGTTCTCTTTCACTTCATTTCACCGTTGGAACCCCTTTTTCACTTTCATTTTATTTCTTTTTCTCTTTTTTTTCATTCACTTGGCGGGAGTTCCAACTGCAGTCTTTCGCACGGTCGACCCTTATTAGTCGAGCAAGAGCAATTTTTGTACACCTGGCGCTCGCCAAGGTACTTCTTTTAACTCCTTTTCCTCAACTCGTGTGGAGGGTCAATGAAATTAAGGGGGGTCGGAAGCTCTATCCGTGCCCTTAAAAACACATCCTCGAGTAGGCAAACCGTTCAACGGGTGGAAGTTTTACTTGTACTAGAGACAGCTTAGCTTCACCTTGTAGGAGTACCCCACTAAGGATCACTAAATTCTCCTCCAAAACCCGATTTTATGCAATGAAAGGTGCCACACACGTTGGGCTTACCCCATGTTTAGGATTTTGATGATTTCGACATGGAGGACCAACTGCTTTCCATTTTCCACATGAGCACCCTGTTCGATACACGAGTCCACAACACCATCCAAACAGAGTCACCATTACCACATGAATTCAACGGTCTTAGCTCCACTAATTCACAAAATCAACTGGCACAACAGAGAGCTAGATAGGAAAAATCTTATACTTCAACATCCTCCATAGTGCTACACTACCTCCCTAGGTTGCACATTACTATAGAGACTGTCAATTCAAAGCATACTGAGCAGGCAATTTGCAAGGAAACACGTACTTGGAGCCCTCAAATTTAAAAATTTGGACAGTGGACTAGGCTCCAAGCACACAAACAACCAAACATTCACCCGCATTCATAATCGAACATCCCCCCACACTTAATCACGACATTGTCCTCAATGGAGGAAAGATAAGGATGGTAGAACGAAGTTACCAGATCCAGGGTGAATGATGGTGGACGGGGCAGGCGGTGTATTCCAGGAGGAGAGAGTGGTCAGAACACAAACACCACACAAAATCTCACAAAGGTTGAGTTATTGACTGTAAAATCAAAGAACAAAACTGACTCAACCGAGGTGAAATAGAGAAAGAAATGCAAACCGACTAGTTGGGTTGCCTCCCAACAAGCGCTTCTTTCACGTCGTGAGCCGGACGATGGCTCCTAAGTTTCGGTCCACCCCAAAACCTCCTTGAAGTTGAGGTTCTCGTCGATGAGGTGGAGTCTCAAGTCACGAGCATGTGGTATGACATGTGATGGAAGCTCGTGCACTTGATGCAGATAACGTCTCCACCCTCGAGACCTCTTCTTCTCTTCTCTCGTCTCATTTCCCCAAACTAGATATGACAGCATCGATTGACCACCATCGCGTCCACCAAGAGGGAGCGATGTCGAAGTCGCCTTGGTCTGGCAAAGAGACACTGCAAATGGGTCCTTGTTAAGTAGTTCCTCGAAGTTTGGTGGAGATATCACATGTAACTCATGGCCGGTGCAGGCCTCTTCCACCTCAACTCCGTCCTCATCCTGGACGCCAATTGCTTCTTCAACCTCCCTTCCTTCTTCATGTGGTATCACCCCTGGGAAATGATCAAGAACTCCTTCCGTTTCACTTTTGTCATCCTCCACAACTTCTTTCTGCACCCTTTCTCTCTCTTCGTCTTCTAGCACGGATTGGAGAGCAAGTTGCCAAGCAATTTCTTTCATGAGATCTTTTTGCATCTCCTCACTCATGCCCGCCTCTTTAAAGCTCAGTTTGGGATGTGGGAATGTGTGGTCGGCTACGACAGGACATTCCTGATCATGATCATCACGGGAGCTCTCCGTGACAACTTCAGTGTGCTCCAAAATGTCCTTGTAGCCTTCTTCTTCCTCCTCATCTTCTAGTACGGTAGCAGAAGGGTGATCTGGAGCAGGTTGTGCACAAGATCGCTCAAGATCATCGACGCTCTTCTTAAGGCTCAGGAGGATCTCCTCTGTTTCACGAAAGGCCTGGGTACAAAGATCCATCCTGACACATGATCTCACACTGTCTCGAGCAAATTGCTCCATGAGAAGCCTCAATTCATAGTTTAGATCTGGCTGTGGAGTGTAGCATGGCTCTGCAAAATGGCCCGTGAAGGCCGCCATGGGTAACTCCAGCTCCGATGGCCCTTCTGGTTGTGGGAGGAATTCTTCTTGATAATGAGGTTGTTCTTGATATGCCCAGGGATCTGGTTGTTCTCCGTCGTAAGGGGGTTGGTACTGGAATCTGAATCCATAGTCTTCTCCTCCTTGATTGCTCCAGGGGGTCTCGGGGTAATACCACTCGGATGGTGGTGGATACCCCCAATGGTTGGAGAAGCCATGAGGATCCATGATTCAGATCTGCACCAATAAAAATAAAAACACCCAAGTGAAAAGCAAGGGTGGAAAAGAAAAGAAAAACTCTAAAGTAACAAACTTCTGCCTTTCCTAATACTCTAGAAAGTCCCCGGCAACGGCGCCAAAAACTTGACTCGCTATGAGACAACTCCTAACATAGGCCAAGTGTAACCAATGAAAGGGACTGCAGTATAGTGGCTCAAGTAATAAATATCGAATCCACGGGTCTCTAGAGTTACTATTACTCAGTTTTAGTTCATTATCTAGCAAAACATATTAAGATGAAAGAACTAAAACTACTCTAGCAAACTACAGTTAAAGTTAATCTAATTACAGGTTGGGAACTCACTTAGGTATGATTCTCCCTAGCCACTAGTCAGATTAATGATTGATGATTTCTAACTTGTTTCACTTTCATTCACAATGCGGAGAATCCTTGACTAGACCTTGAATCTCGACTAAAGGATCAAGGCCCTCTTGAGTTGATTGCCTAGAGGGACGTATCCTTCTCTAGAACAACCGATCAAGGCGTTCTGAACTAGATTCCCTCTATCGAATGAGGTTCTCAATCGATACAAAGCAGTGAATCAACCATCGACTAAAGCAATCGATCCACTACTATCAATCTATGGTGCTCTATTGACCTAATCAGGTATTCGCTCTCATAGGATCAAAGCAGAATCAATAATCTCGACTAAAGCAGAATTGAATCGTGAAAACATGCATAGATTGAATATGAACTCAAGATTATCAAGTCAGAGTACTCATACAATCATCCAATCAAACAAACATAGCTAGGGTTCCTCAAAACCTAAGTGAAGGGAAGTTACTCCATAGAGAAGAGAGAGACTGCGGTAAGAATCTTCAGATGATCAGTCTTCAAGTCTGGACTTGTTCCTCGAGCTTCCAAGGCGAAGAAATCCTCCAATTCCTCTCCAAGAATGCCCTCAAATCGCCCTCTCTCTCTTTGGTTCGTCCCTTGGGTGTTTGGGATCCAAAACCCAGCTCTCCCTTGCAAAAACGCACAAAACAGGCTTTTAACAGCTTGCGTTCGCGATAGGGGATTTTTGGTTCACGATAGGGGATTTTGGTTCACGATAGGGGATTTTCCCAAAATCCCCTATCAAGGCCAAAAATCCCCTACCGGGGATTTTAGCGTCACGATAGGGCCCCCTTCTGTTTCTCAGAGACGCCCGAAACCAATTTTCCACTATCTTTCATTCTTCGTTTCTCCCTCGTTCGGACTCCAAATCAGGTGTCGTTAGATCCCAGACGCTCGTAGTCTCGTCCTCTTTCTTCTCATGACAAGATTACATGATTAAATGGTCACAAACTGAGGTAGAAATCCATTCTTCTTCAAGTCATACCCGAGTTTCTTCCCCCGAGTCGCCAATTGATCTCCGATTGACTTGAAACTTGCGCCTACGCTTCAATTTATGTGCTAGGACCTGAAATGTGACAAATGAACACAACCTAGCGTAAAATAGGCCAAAGAAGCGATAATGCAAGCTTAAACGATCAAGAAACAAAGGGGAAAACATGTGCAAATATCGAGTCATCATATATACGGGTAGTATGGGTACCCGTTATCCGTCCCGTACGGGTAACGAGCACCCGTTAACCCATACGGGTTTGAGAATGGGATGAAGATTGCTCTCCAAATGAGATTGGGTACCCGTTTCAAACGGGACGGGTATCCCGTCCCGTTGTCCACCCCTAAACTCAGTGACCAAACTTGCAATTAACCCGAAAAGTAACTGATTTAACGAGGAAAGACGTCAGGTACAAAAGGATATGATGGACAGAAGCATTTCCACAGTTATACACAACTAGAGCAAATAACAACTTTATCTGCTGTACGGCCTAAACGGAACTCACACCCTTTTAAGCTTTTAAGTATGAGAGAAAGAATGTAGCGACAAATATGGACACTAGCATTTAGCTCTATTTTTCTCTGTCTCCATCCATGGCCTCCATCGCGACTTCTAACTTGCAGCTGGGACACATGTAACCAGCTGACCCTGACTGTGAACCCGTATCAGAAGAAGATGGGTAGCCAAACTCCACCCCGCACCAATTACACATTGTTGGGAGCTCTTCTGGTCTGTGGACCCTGCTTGATCCCAACTCAGAGTCCAGGACCTCCGAAACACCGCACATGCTTCCCATCTCAGCTTCGTGAACGAAGGGCTCTTGTTGTTCAGTCCCGTAACCAACCACTTCCATGTCCTCTACTCTCAGTCCCTCCATCTCTGCTACCTTGTCTTGCCTTCTGTGAGCCTCATCAATTCCTTTATCTTCCTGCGGAAAGAAGAAAGACTCCACATGAGAAATCCAAGAACACCCATTCAATGATGTAAAAGACAAAATAAGTTGCTAATAAGATACTATAAGAGCCGAGAAACTAATTATAAACTCGAATTAACAGATCAGCTCTGCTACAACCACCTTATCCAAGGTTGCAATGACGGTGGATTCTGTAGAGAAAACATCAGGTGGTGGCAACATCATCAACATGGTTGGTTCGTCTTTAGCTGTTCGCAGCGCTGCTAGTTCTGCTGTGGTAGTACCCTCAATGCCCACAGAGCCAACTGCCATCTCAACTGCCTTCTTCTGGTTATGCACTTCATCATTTTTTGCATCATCTGCTTCATGGGGTCCAACAGGACCATCTTTCTTCTGAAGATGTATATCATCTTCAGGGGATCCTTCTTTCATGCCATCGTCCATTTCTACATCATGCATAGGAGAATTACCGTCCGTAACTTCACCGCCCAAAGCTGAAGCAGGGACAGAGATTACTACATTGCTTATTATATCAGAAGTCAACCGATCATTGTTTTCATGATTAGCCACGGAAGATGAGGCTTCCAGAATGGAGTTCTGTGCAATTTCAACCAACGCATCCATTTTAGAGATCCTAGCAGCTGAAGGTAACTCATCCTCCACTGGACTCTCAGTTGGCTTCTGTAGTGCCGCCATTCGCTCCGCAGGTGATTCTTCGACCCCTCTCACATAATTCCTGACGTGAATGCCCACGTGGCCATTGTATCGGCGCCTTTCATGAAACACTTTATGGCAAAACTGGCATTCATACTTCCCGTCTTTAACTATCACACCATCTCCAACAGAGGATCCAAGTCTATACTTCCTCGTTGTCCTCTGGTGATACGACAAAAGATGGCTCAGATACAAGCCCCTCTCATCAAATGTCAGCTTGCATTTACGGCATTCGAAAAGGTCGTGTATTTGAACTTCAGCCAAATTATCCATCTCTAGCCCAAGTTCCTTGTCACTTTTGCTGGGCACCTTTCCATCAGCCATCTCTCTATTCTGTTTCATAACCGACAAACCGTCACCGCTGAATTCATTTCCAAACATCCAACCAAGATAATATTTCGGGTAAATTAGGATCAATAGCTAAGGATACATTAGCACTTACCCTTACGAAGATCATTCTGTTATCCTGCTGCTGCATGGATACCTTTCCCAGAGGAGGAGCGACAACATGGCCTCCACAAACAGATTGCATATACTCTGAAACTTCTTTGCATGACAGGAAATGTTGTCCACCAGGACTACACACAAAATGAAACGTGTAAGTTCATCAATCAAACTGTCCAGAGTAGGTTCGTAGTGCGAAGCAAAAAAAGACACAGGAGGAAGCAAGCAGAGCTCATGAGCGTAACAAATTTAGAGAATGATCAAATGTTTAAAATGAAAAACTGGCATAAAGGAGGCAAGGCAGGAGCAGGAGATCCTCAAAGCTCAGCTGCAAACCTTGAAGTCTAAACTTAGCAGGCTACATTACATGTTCACGAGGTAAATCGAATTCGCAGAGCGTGTTTCTTATTCTCATGTTCAGGTATTGAAACCTAGGCCCAAGGTTATCATCTGCCATCCAAGCAAAAAAACCAAACAGACTATCTCTACTTCTCGCCAAATCAAAATCAAACAGAAAGTAACTGTTGCACCACCACCGCACCAAGGAGGGAGAGAGGGCATAACATAAGAAAGGCAGAAAGGGAAGAAGCAGACCTCACTAATCTGCGGCAATACACCCAGGCACGGCCTTCTTTCCTCTTAAGCCCAAGCAAAAGCTTCCAACCAAGGGGCAGCGCATCACCAAACTCCCCAGCATCAACAAACTTCCTCTTCCTCCTCCTGCTGCACCATTCCCCTTCCAAATCCCTCAAGAACCCCAACAATTCTTCTTCCTTTGTCATACCTAGGGTCCTCCTCGTCAACTCCTCACTGAATGGATCCTCCAAACTCGCTAGCTCCGCTAAATCCACAACCGCTCCATTTTTATTCACCATCTCCAGCTGCTCCACAAACTTATCTTCCTTTGGCTCCCTGTTCACCAACACTTTCGCTTTGGGCTTCCTCCCTCTCTTCCTCTTCCTTTTAGGTGAAGCAGGAGAGACCAAGTCGACGGGATTGTTAAAATGGCTGAAAATATCCAACTCCTGTTGCTGGAAGTCCGGGTGAGTGGAGAGGAATTGCTTCAGGAAACGGATTATGGAGAGGTTCTCCGGACGGTCAGGGTCGTTGGCCGGGTCATGCAGATATTCAGAAGCAGTGGAAGACACAGGAGGAGCGGCGGCAGCGAGTTTAGGGAGAACCCCGGCGAGCCGGTGACGATGGTGATGGTGGTGCGGCGAGGGCCGAGAGTACGTTTGACGGCGGGAACCGGTGCTCTCGTTGAAGATGGAGCGGTCAATAGCCGGGATCACGATTTCGCCGGTACCAGAGGCGGCATGCGAAGAAGCGGAGCAGACGGAAAGAGCTCGTAGCTCGGATTGGGAGAGCGTGGTCATATCTATGGAAGGGAGCAAATTTAGGGCTCCAACCGGACCCGATAATTGAGGAGGGTTCGAGGTTGCAGCAGCCATTTCTGGGCGGAAGTGGGACTGAGGAGAAGACTGAAAGAAAGGGGGAAACTGTTTTGACTAAGCCAAGACTACAGTCAACCTAATTCGTGCAACCAGCTCCTTTGCGGAAAACTCCTTGCTATGCTATCACCAACCAAATCCCCTCAGATCTCTCTCTCTTCCTCCATCGTTTCTCGCCACAGCAGGTGGGGAAGGGAGAAGAGATCATTGAGATGAAATGCCTTTTGAGAATAAATGAAAGAAGATGGTTTCTAATTCTAAAGATATTAGGGATTTTGACTTTGAAGAAAGGAAGCAGCTTGGAGAAGGAAGACTGAAAACAAATGGTTCTTATTCTTCAGCCTGCTTCTCAATCTCAGGTGGGCCTAGGGATGGCAAAAATATCCATAATCGTGGATATTGCCCGAATCCGGCCTAAACGGGTAGGACAAAACCCGAACCTGAAAGACATTTAGTGGGTACGGGTAAAACCCGAACCCGAATATTGCGGGTAATCGGTGGGAATGAGTTTCTCGCTATCCAACCCGAACCCGCCCGATTATACACATACATATGTATTTTGTCTATAAATAATCATTATATTTCTCTAACATATTTTATATTTAGCATATAAATATAATATTTTCATGAAATTGTGTTGTTTTAATTAATTTTCTTCATTCTAGTGAATTATTGTCATACTTTTCCTCTTAAGTAATGTGAGAATATGTGTGAATGTTAACATATTGGTTGGAGTTATGAAGAGAAATCATTACCCATGGATAACCGTGGATACCCGAAACCCGAACGGGTATGGGCATGGTTTTAATTTTCTACCCGTTTCACATGTGGGTATGGGTATGGGTAAAACCCGAACTACTTTGAGTAGGGTAATGAATATGCACTATCCGTCCCCGACCCGACCCATTGCCATCCCTAGGTGGGCCAAGACAAAATAAGCCCCAGCCAAAAATAACACTAAAAGATTGGCTTCAGATGTAAGTAAGCCTATAGGCTAACTATAATAGCCCGATGAAGGACGAGATTCAGTCGGAACTATACTACTATAGGTGTAAAAATAGAATCACATTCGAGTAGGAATTTAGATATGGTGCACCACTTGCATTTTGGAGAACGTTATCCATCTTAAATTCAATGGTCCATAAAAATGAGCCATTAAATTAAGGGTCAATATTTGTTGCTAACAAATAGGAGTGGAGAGTGAGATCAGAACTGCAAAGGAGCTCACAAAAAGCTGCTTTTTCGGGGCCCACGGATTGAAAAGGAGATGACACAAGAGAGAGTAGAAAATGCAAGTTCTTGAAAATGCTGAATATGATTTCTGTTTTGTACAAATATGTTTTGTGATCAGTAGTAATATGTTTTATATTTAGTAAGAATATGATTTTTAATGCGTGGTATATTATTTTGAATAAGAGTTGTGAAAATTACAAATATAGAAATCACATATGTGGAATATGTTTTCTATTCAATGCAAATATCATATTTTATTTAATACGAATATGATATTCTAATGTGTATATTTGTTCAGTACAAATATAACTTTTGCTCAGTACAAATATGTATTTTGTTCAATACAAATATGTATTTTGTTCACTAAGAATATACATATATCACTTGTAAATAGTATGTATAAGTTTTATTTTGTTAAAAATAAATGGCCCACATGACATCTACTTTTTCAAGTCGTGGATCCCATAATCCACTATCTATTGCTCTAATAGATGTGAGCCTTTAATTTAAAAGAACACTTTTGTGGGTCGTTGGATGGAATGGAGAACTGTTCTCCAATATTCATGTGGTGCACCATATCCTGGTTGTCCGAGTAGTCCGCCCGATCAGGTCGATCTGTATCTCGAATGCAATTTAAATTGACTAAAAGTCAATAACTCACTACCCGCCCGAACCGTAACCCAATTGACTCATAACCTAATTAACCCGCGAACTGATTAAACTCGTAATCCGAATAACCCGCAATCCGATTGACCTGAACCAGTCTAACTCTACCCCCCTGATTGACATGAATTACTACTATATTACATCATATGTATTCTTTCAAAATAATTTGTTTTGTTGTAAATCTAAGTAAAGTAATTTTTAATTTCGTAGAGGGAAGTTCAAAATCTAAAATTCACTTGAAATTATGTTTTTAATTATTAAAATATAAATTTCATTTGAACTTTAATTTATTTAATAGAATTACAAAAAAGTGAAATTTCAACTCATGTCAATATTGATAATGAATACTTATCGGGAATTTGCTACGGTGACTTACAAGTCACCATGAATTGAATAAAATAATCGACCTCTTCATTGATCAGGTCGACCTATTTGAACAAAATGACTGACCTCTTTGTTGGAATGGTTGACCAGATGTACTATATTCCATTTTGCTATGTTGAACAAATGGTCGACCTCTTACAAGAAAACGGTCTACCACTTCCATCAAGTGGCTACCTCTTTCACCAAGAGGTCCACCACTTTCAATAACCGATCGACCTGATGAACCATTGCTAGTGATATAATCATAAATAACTAGAGTCCAATAATAATATATATGTTTGCTAGTAAGAGATTTAAAATTAGTACAAAGGCTGCAAGCATAGATGACAAGTTTCTCGAGTGATTGTTCTCCCGTAGATTTGGAAAATCTTCTACATATTTATTTCTTATACTTGACTTCTATATTAAGACTTTCATCTTTCCTTCAAATTCTAAGTTTGCTTGTTTTTATCCTATAATTGTCTTGTGATTGATCAACTTTGTTGTTATGAAAATACTCAAAAAGTATAGTATAATTGTTATACAATTGTGTCATCTTCAAATGTCCATATATCTCACATCATCTTGCTTTTGTGGATTTTTATTCAGAAGTGTTAAAAGTGCTTGTTGGTTTTATTTTGTCTTGGGCTATAATATGCGTAGGAATTTGGTTGCCTACAGGTGATAGGATGTTGCGTTACACTACAAAACAATTATGTATTGTTTGTCTCATATCGTCCATTATTTGTCTAATGTAAGTATAAGGTAACGGTGTTATCTGGTCAACTGTTCGCAAAAAGCAGAGATCATTCGCCCAAAGAGGTACGTAAACCACTTTACATAATTGGTATCTTATTTTGGCAAGAGCAGATTACCTCCTCCAACAAGCGGGTGTAAGTTGAATGTAAGTGGGTCACAGGTCGACACATTGCTGGAAGCTGTTGACCGGTTGCCTAAAGTGGTACACCACTTGGTGGAAGAGTTAGACCACTTGAAGGTAAGTCTGCCATTAGGTCGATCCATTTTCCGGAAGTGGTGCACTGTTGACTCAAGTGGTGGACCACTTGGTGGAAGAGGTCGACCATTTTCTTTGAAAGTGGTGGACCGTTTTCTCCAAGTTATGGTGACTTGCAAGTCACCATAGACATACCTTACTTATTAATCGAGTGGTAGAGGTATGGTAGTGGAGCTGGAGATATTTCCTTCCTGTATTTTTTTCGCTAAGGAGTTTTCTTCCTGTATTTAGAAAAGAGAATCCGACAATAAGTTAATAAGGAAATCATTTAATCAAGAAAGACGAATTTACCACCGAGTTCTTTTTTTTTTAGCGGGAAACCAACATGTTCTTTTTGTTTGGAGCCAAAACATAAAAATGGGAAGCAAAAGCAACTTACTTGATAATTTTCGGTCTCCACTTTTATTTCCCTTGGAGAAAAAAATGAAAAAATAAGAGCCAAAAGCAATTCACTTACCGTCAAATACTATGTGTGGAGAGGCTGGTGTTTTGGAGTGGGATAAAAGGGTTGGAGGGTACTTATTTGTTGTGAATGATTAGTAAATTAATAGTTATTTAATAAAATAACTATTTTGTCTCATTTATCAGTATCTGTCGCTTCGTTTTTTAGTGTTTGTATTTGCCTATAGAGGCAATTAAATCTACCTCTTTATGACATAGCATAAGCAACAATTATATTTTCCTATGCGAATAAAATATAATGAAATTGATGCAAAACAAATAATAAAGTATTATGAAACCGAGATAAATACAATGACATATTGAGACAAATAATATTTTTTCTAAAAACTTTAGAAAATGTTGTGGAATGAAATCCAATAAAATGACATATCAAGAAAAATAATATTTTTTTCTAAAGTATTAGAAATTGATATGAAACGGAGACAAATAATATTTTTCCCTCAAAATTTTAGCTACGGAGGCTAATACAATAATTGTGTATGATTATTTGTCCCCATAGGTTGGTACAGTTTTGGTTAATTTTGACCAAGGTTATCATTTAAATATAAATAGAGTAAAGTAATTTATTTGGTAATTTGATTATTTTAAAAAAAGGGGAAAATTTGAGTGTTTTCAATTTTCTGAGAGGAGAAAGAAGAGAGAAATTTGACGCTTCGTGTTTGAGCCTCGACGCCTTGCCAACAGGCCCACGTTCCTTCTGTCTGGCGCCTGCCTACACACACGAGCACAGAGGGGGGGCGCCTGGGCCCGTTAGCCCTCCGACGATCAAGTCAGTGTCTTAGAGAGAGAAGTGCTTCTAGTGTAAGAGTTTTAGTGAGAGAGTCCAACCTGTGTAAATGCTACCAACTGCCTCTATTTATACTCACCGAATTCGAGATTGATCTCCTCCACGCCACCATCTCATTAAATGCCTTGTACCTTCATTCTCGTCAGAAGCCCCAACCACCTTGTCAGGATTATGACTGTTGGCAGGCGCCCACGGGCAGGGGACCACTTGCCAGCTTGGACCTCTTTGGCTCCTAGTGCTTTGTTCTCCATGCCTATGCTGCCCAATGGGCTTTGTAGGCTTCTTCTCCTAGCCCATTGCCTTGGGCTACTTTCAATTGGATGGACTTTTCTTGGGCCCTCCTTTGGGCTCCTTTAGTGATACCTCCAACAATTGCCCCCCAGTTAGGCGCTCATGGTCTTTCACATGGGTGCCTAACTGATCTCTTGGCCTTTCATCTGGATGCCTAGCTTTCCCCTTGGTCGGGGCGCTTCTTAGGAGTCCCCACTTCTTGATGGGCGCCGGACCCTTATGATCATTCAAGGTTATGGGTTCGAAACCCCCTCTTTCGAAAGGCGCGCTACATCCTGATTGCTTTTGGGCGCCCTTTTTGTGGTTATGGCCTGGGTCGTGCTATGGTAGGGACGTCTGATCAGGGCGCCTAGGTGCCCCCCTCACGGGCGGGAATTTGAGCCTTCATTTTAAGATGTCCTTTTAAATTCCAATTTCAAATTTTGAAATTCGAAATTCAAAATTCAAAAATCAGTGGAGCTCAAAGGTCCGCCCG